ATTTTGAATAATATTTTATATTGGCTATATATCTATATTGGAGTTTGCTCTGTTGCTCACTAATTATTATTGTGATTAACAGAAACTAAAAACAAATATTTTTTCATATTTTCAAAATGTCGCAGGCTATAGACGAAAGCCAAAGCCAAACATTCAAAATCAGACATCCCGGGCGGGGAGGTAGACGGCCCCTTGGCCTCGTGTGGCGGCGCCTATGAATGTGTCTCTTAAAGTTGACCACAAATGGGAAACTTTTTTATTATTAGTTTACTATAGTCTATTTTTATGTATGAGAGAGTAATAAAACAGCATTTCTAATGCAAAACTTAGTACGGTCATTTTAAATATTTTTACAGAATAATCTAAATATTTCCTAAAAATTTAATAAATGTACCTGAGCTATTACAAGTTTTTGGTCTTTTATTGGTCCTTTATAAACATAAGCTGTACAGAACAATAGAAAAAGGTTTGGACAGGCCAAAAGCCCTGTGTATTAAAGATTACATAGCCGTATCTTAAGATTATTTTCAATAAGTACCTATTTACCAATTTTGTTTTATTTTAATTCCAAGAATTTCTTACACTAATCGAATTATAAGTAGATAAATACCTTCCCAACAAATTTCACTGAAAATGCGATTATAGGTTTTCCATTTAGTAAGGAGGTCCAAGTTGTGTATTCTTGACAGTTTACTAAATGTCGTTTAGTTGCAACTTGCAAGGTGCAGTGTGAATTCTAGTGTGATCATGGAAAATTTGGAAGGGCCGCGTAAACGACAAAAAATCGGTCCTTTAACAGTTCATGAAAAAACATTAATATTTAATTGTTTTAAATCATTTACAGACGAACATTTATGTAAAAGTGTTGATGACATAGTGGAATTAGTTAGTAGTACGCTTGGTGTTGGGAAATCTACGATTTACAGAGTTGTTAAAGAAGAGAAATGAGGCGAGTTTCAAACAGCATGTAAAGCTCCAGGAAAACCAAAATTTCAATTAGAAAATCTTTTGAAAGAAAGACTTCGAAGAAAAGTGCATGCGTTCTTCTTTAGAAAAGAATTTCCGACAGTAGACAAAGTTCTTGCCACGGTTCGAGATGATAAGGATTACCCTGAAATGAGTCGAAGCACACTATGGAAACTTTTAAAAGAAATAGGTTTTCTATGGAAAAAGCATTCCAGAAAGTCTATTTTAATAGAAAGAAGCGATATTATAGTATGGAAAAGAAATTACCTAAGGACTATAAAAGAAATGAGAAACCAAAAAAGAAATATATTTTATTTAGATAAAATATGGATCAACGAGGGACATAAACCAAATAAATTTTGGCAAGATGAAACTGTTACAAGTCGAAGACAGGCTTTTTTAAATAATTTATCTACTGGTTTAAATCCACCATCTAGAAAGGGGCGCAGACTAATAATAGTACACATCGGTAGTTCAAACGGTTTTGTTAAAGGTGGTTTATTGACTTTTGAATCTACTCGTACCGGTGACTACCATGAGGACATGAATGCTGATGTCTTTAAAGAGAGGTTTGAACAAATTATAGATCTTCTTTCTCAGAACTGTATAATAGTAATGGATAATGCAAGTTATCACTCGAGACCAGTGTTGCCAGAATATATTTTTCTTAAGTACCAGATTTATCTAACAAATGTACCAGATTGCATAAAAATGTACTAGATTCTGTAAAATGTACTAGATTTTTGAATTAATTATGATGTGGTTTGGCTCATTAAGAAAAAAGAAATAGGATTTTTAGCGAACCAAAAGAAAACAATAAGCAAGATGCCAACAATATATTTTACACGCGTCAAATAGTAACACGCTGAAACAGAAAAAGGTATTAGATTTTGCTTTGAGTGTACCAGATTCCTAGAAAATGTACTAGATCTATTACAATTGTACTAGACTGGCAACACTGCTCGAGACTTATAGAAAAAAATGCCCACAACCAAGTGGTTAAAAAAAGATTTATAGAATTGGCTAAATTCAAAGAATATTAAGTTCCATCCCGGTTCTGTGAGAAAAGAACTGTATCATTTGTGTTCCCTTCATAAAGAGAAATTCAAAAAATATGAAATTAATGAAATTGCAAAAAATCGTGAGATGACGGTGGTTAGATCACCACCATATCATTGCGAAGTAAACCCGATTGAACTGATATGGGCACAGATAAAGGGAGAAGTTTCAAGAAAAAATAATTCTTTTAAAATGAGTGATGTTAAACAGTTGTTTTTGGAGGCTGTAAATAATGTGAAGCCTGAAAACTGGGAAAAGGCAGTAAATCATACGATTAAAGAAGAAGAGAAAATGTGGAAGTTGGACAATATTACTGATGAAATGATCGAGCCACTCATTGTAAATATTGGTTGCGACAGTTCATCTTCTGATTTCGATTCTGATTTGGATTTGTAGGTAAGAAGTAGTTTTTATATTAAAATTATTATTTATAAACGTAACGATGTTTAAAAGTCAAAGTTTAAACCCTTATACCTACATAACCCGTTTGACACAATGTTCTTAACATACCTTGTGGAAAAATAAAACATTTTAGAAAAAATTGCACTTTTTTACCTTTAGTTGTTTAGAAGTTATAAGCAGGTTAATTAGGTGAAAATATAAGTGTATACTCGAGGAATAACTTCAAAAAATATTTTAACTGTCTACTAAAAGAAGTGGTACGCCTATGGATTACGAACGCTTTATTATTTTAATACTCTCTCATACATAAAAATAGACTACAGTGCAAGCAAGAAACTAAAATAACAACGTTGCCAGTAGCGGTAACTCTCGATTATACACCGTTGATCGTCTGTGTGTGTTGTGCTGTCTGCTCTCTGTGCTGTGAATTAAGAATAGGCACACAGGTATACCCACAATCCCAATGCAGCCAAGCCGTTTGCAATGTTGATATTATTAGTTTTCTTCTCGAACTAATGCGAAGTCTCCGTAGTTTTAACTTCGACACTAGCAAACCGTATTGGAGGGTTTTCAATAGCCGATACTGTATATGAATAAATAAATAAATAAATATATATACAGAGTTGCGTGAAAATCCAGAATAAAATTATTAACTGTTCAAACAGTAACTTAAAAAAACCGCTGAGATACCTAAACTGATTTTACATTGGACGTATTTGTTGCCAATAAAATGAAATTTGTTTCTTCAACCCCTTAGCTGTTACTGTGCTCAACTTTTTTTTTTAAATGCAAAGGTATGTCGTGTATAGGTCATTGAAAAGCTCATGAATAATATTCCCTACAAACGACACATTTGAAAAAAAAAATTGGATAGAACAAAAGTAAAAGTTGGAAATGCTTTTGCCAGTTCTCCCACTTTATACACATAAATTGACAGGTTGTCAGCGGATCTCACCGAAGTGGACACGATACATTGGCGTACAAAATTATTTTATAGATGTTAATAACAATTTCGAGTAAATAGTTTAATAAATTGTGAATAGCTGTTGAAATTTTGTAAAATTATAATTTGAATATTATAATACATGTTTAATAATTATTTATAATCCATAAATACATGCGATTGTCCGGTTCCGCCGATAACAATTTAAAATTACGTATTCTATGAAACGACACTGGCAGGTAAACATTACTGTGAAATTCTCGGAGCCGCCCGACGTGGTTTGACGTTTACCCCCTCTCTACCTACCAAAAGACTTTTCAACTTTTACTTTCTCTATAGGGTTGCAGCTAAGGGGGTGAAGAAAAATTTTTATTTTATTGGCAACAATTACGCCCAATGTAAAATCATTTCATGTGTTCTAGCGTTTTTTAAGTTACTGGTTGGAACAGATAATAATTTTATTCCGCACATTTGCGCAACTCTGTATATTACGAGAAGATCCACTATACAAAATATCAATAAAATATTATGATGTTCTACACACCAACGTGTTATGTACTTAATGTACGAATTTATATGTGTTTCTTATTGTCAATAAAGATTTATTAATTGCGGTACTGGAAAAAATGTTGCTTATATCAATCATTTCGTCTTATTTGCTTTCCAATTTTTGGCAATTTTAACACACTTTCTTGCGTATTTTTTTATCTAGAGGAGTACCAGGGACCTCCATTTTATGAATTTTCAGTAAACAATGCTTATTATTTTGTTATTATATACTAAAAAACAGTAATTAACTATGGACGTGTTTTTATAAACCGACTACAGCTACCATATTGGTTTAACTACTTGTTATTGGCTCAAAGTTGCTTTGCTACTTTTGTTATGTCAAATCTGGAGATTGCTCTTTCTGATACAAATTTACACCTTTGCTTTTTAAACCAAGTTTTAACGGTTTATTTCTGTTTTTGTTACAAAATAAGATCTGCTATATTAATAAACAAACATTCCAAATCGGTACGACAAAAATTTGGAGTTTGCTGCTTTTGATATTAGACCCCTGATTTACTCTTGTTAGGAGTTCATAAAGTGGTTGGTTTTCAGAGATATTCACACTCAAAGGTGCATATTCTTTTTTAATGTATGTTTTAAATATGTAATTTTGGATTTTTTAATATATTCCCAACAAAAGTACATGATTTATTTAAAAAACATAAAAAACCTCAAAATTATAGTCCAAATAGGTTTTTGGAGATTGATGTAAAATTTAGAAGGGATGAAAGTGTTAATTACCCATGCCGCACGTCACTGGCAACGTTTGTTTAGCTGATTGTTTTGCTAATAGGTATATCTTAGGACACCATTATTGTTTAGTAAAATTATACTGAGAAATTAAAAATTATAGCCATTAAGAATTCTTGAATTTTCAATTTTAACACCCTGTATTTCAGAAACCAGTAATATTTTATGTAAGCATGTTTTGTTTAATCGTCTTATTTTTAATCAGAAAATGTTCAGTTGTTCTGTGTCCCATTCTTATTGAGACACCATGTATATAGGTATTCTCTTATGACTACCCTCTTCTTTATAGCAAATTATTGTATTTGAAAATAAGTACTATTAAAATTACCTGATGAACATGCTCCTTCATGCCCAACCACTGCTTATAACTGATCGCTATACCGCTACTTCTCCATTTGTCGTAATTTGATCTTTTTTGAGGGTCGCACAAAACTTCTTTTGCTTCCTGAAAGTAAATTATTAAAAGTTTGTTACGTTTGTTAATAATAATTATCTTCCAGTAACTAATTCTCCAGAGCCGCCCGGTGGGCGCCAAGTTGGGACGGTTTTTTAGAACGTTTTGAATATAAGTACTTTAGTACGTTTAAAGCGTTTAATTTGCTTTAAAAAAAGGTATATTTGCATGTCGCTAAAATGCGTAATTTGAAGGAAAACTTAATATAAAGTTAGTACTGCAAATGTATGGATTACTCCATAATTTCTCAATTTGATAATGTTAAATCTAGTAGACAGTTGTCAAATGTAGTAGCACCACAGGATAAAGAACGATACAGAAAAGAAACATAAGGCTAAAATGGGAACCTAGCAACCGAAGCCACACCTTCTTTATGGTGGAGCATTGTCAAAAGTGAATCGTAGATTTGTTACTTGTTCGAAGTGCAATAGTGTACACTTTTGTAGCAGATGAACGAAGCTGTCACTGCTGTCGCTGTCAATATTTTTTTGCCTGTCGTCTTTTGATTTTTGGTTTATTTTAGCGAATATTCTAATAACTTTTACGTTTTGTTAGTGGTTTATTTTTAGTTTTTGTTGCTGTTTTTAATTGTGGAGTGTTCATTTAAGGCTTTATTGTACGTATTAAGATTAGGTTTATAAACAATGCCGCGTCAAAGAGGAGGAGGGTATACTTGTATTTATCGTGGATGTACCTCAAGAACAGGCGACAAAGAAGGATTGTTCACTCTTGTGAAAGATCCAATGAGGTATGTATGAAACATTGAATGTGAAATAGGAATTGACCTTGCCATAACATTGTAGTACAATGATTGTATGTATTTTTCAGACTTGAATTGTGGCTTAAAAATAGATAGGACTTATTGGGAAAGAGTCTTGAATACTTAAGTAAACATTACAAAATTTGTGAATTGCACTTCCAGGATAAATTCGTTTATCAGTCAGGAGCAAGAAAACGATTATTTGTAAATGCATTCCCATCAGATGCATTCACTCAGAACCTATGAGAAGAGTCACAGTTTTGCAAGGTAAATAAATAAAATTTATATTTAAATGTTGCAAAAAGTTCTACTTGTCTCGCTTGTTATTTTTTTACATTACATTTAGTAGTTTAAAAAATAAAATGATAAGTACTTATAATCTTAGAGTATCAACCCATACATTCCATTTTATAGAACTGCCTCAGAGGTAAACTGCACTATGTCGATATACAACAACCTATGCAAATTAAAATAAAGTAGTTTTATGAGTTAGGTTAGTAAAAAAATACAAATATTGTGACAATAAATGGGGTGTCGAAATGCATATCTAGTTGAAATTTAATAATTTAACAACATTCAATCTGCTGTACTAAACAGTTGACTAGAATGACATAGTGCAGTTTACCTCCTAGGCTAAGAAATATATTCACATTTTTAACCGACTTCAAAAAAGAAGGAGGTTATCAATTCGTCGTGATATATTTTTTTTTATGTATGTTCAGCGATAATTCTTTAACACGGTGTCCGATTTCAATAATTCTTTTTTTGTTAGAAAGGAGCTACTTCAGGGGTAGTCTCATATAAATTTGGTCAAAATTGAAAAATTGGGTCCATGAGAAAATCCTCAAACTCTTCATTTTTTATGTATTTTTAGCGATAATGCTTTACCACCTTGTCCGATTTATATGATTCTTTTTTTGTTAGTAAGGGGGTACCTCAGGGGTGATCCCATATAAATGTGGTTAAGATGTGGTGATGGCATCTGCACGTTTTTGAAGTCGGTTTTTTTTAATTTTTAATTTACACTTGTTTTAAATTTCATCTGGCTAAAAAGTGTGACTTAAACATTTAATTCTGACAAATGATGCACCTTCTTAAAAATAGTTGATCTGATATAAATTTGTTTTTTCTTTCTTTTTTTTTAGAGGAATTTGTTGTTCATGGCGAAAAAGGCTAAGACAACTTATGCCTACCCTCAACTTCAGCAGACAAGTTCATAGTCAACCATCTGTTCCTCTACCTTGTGCAACAGCACAAATTCAAATGTGTAGGTGTATTATCATCAAACACTCCAAGAAAGCAGAGACTGCGACTGAAGATAGCAACGTTAAGGAAACGTTTATCCTTATTGCATATGTAATAAAAAATAATCTTAAAATAATTCCATTCAAAAATTCTATTTTAATAAAATACATGCAAAGATTGTAAACTTATCAATTGCATAAATACACGTTTTTTATTTTTCTTTTTTTTTTAATTAATAAAATCCCTAAAGTACGCTTTAGCTAATGATTTTTTAACAATTATCCCAATTGATTTATACTTATGGATCATAAATGACTAATGATATTTGTGGCACATTATTAATAGTTCATTATGACAGGGTAAAATTAACTATTGTTTAAAACTTTATAATTTTCATTTTTGAAACCTGTCGGAAGTGCTACAAATCGAAAAATATTTTACTTAAATCTGAATAGTTTAATATGCATTCATACAAATTTTCATAAAATATGACACATAATTCTGTAAAAGAGAAATGTAGTTTTCGCAGTGTAGGTTCAGTGAATAGCTACGTTCGCATGTACTGTGAATAGTTACGTTTTCTCAGAGTATCTCTGTGGTGGAACTCAAGGTCAAATATTTCTATCCCTTCAACTTCAAAGTTCCGACCATTACTTTCTTTTCTGTATTGTTCTTTCTTCTGTGGTAGCACTGTCAGTATTAGTCTTACATAGAAGCATCAGAGTTTTGAGTGATAAAATTCCATATTTTTATAAAATGCCGCTATATAACTTTTTCTCAAACAGTGAAATGACCGATATGATATCAGTTTACGCCCAACGCACTTTAGCAATAAGTTACACAGATTTGTATCCTAATCGTAGACAGCCCAACCGAAAATTGTTTTCGTGTCTAATCAGCAGATTAAGAGAAAGTGGAAGTTTTCGCCCAAAAAGAGTCAATGGACGACCTATGGTTCAAGATTTACAGCAGGAGGAAGAGGTATTAAATCTTGTTGAAGATGACCCAGCAACAAGTATCCGTCGTATATCTGCCAATGTTGGTTTATGTCTGGGTACTGCGTTTAAAATTTTACATGAACAACAATTATACCCGAACCATGTAACTCCAGTCCAAAATTTACTGCCAGATGATCTTTTAGCGAGAACAAATTTTAGTCAGTTTGTCTTAAATAAAAATAGATCCATTTTTTGTAAATAAAATTCTATTCATTGATGAAGCAACATATACGAGAAGAGGAATTTGCAACACTAAAAATGCGCACTTTCAGCATGAATTTAAATTAAACATTTTTTTTTGGTATAGTCAAAGATAACCTGATAGGACCTTTTGAACTTCCAGCAAAAATGACTGGAAATGATTACTTACGTTTCCTCAAGTACAACTTATTTGATCTGCTAGATCAGTGGTTCTCAAACTTTTTTGGCGACGGAACCTTTTTGAAAAGCAAAATATTTGATGGAGCTCCTTCCTCTTGTGACTTCTAAAAAAACAAGGCCCTTAAGCAAAATCATATCCTCCTTTCTCTTAGTGACTTCTAAAAAAAAGGTCCTTAAGCCAGGTCACTCCCTTTTGTGACGATAATACTGCTTCTTTTATTTTTTCTTCGCGGAGCCGCAAGGCTCCGCAGAGCGCACTTTGAGTGACACTGTGCTAGATGATGTTCCTTTAAATATTAGAGTTGGTATGTGGAATTTACAAGATAGCTCTCCTGCCCATTATTCCATAGCAGTACGAAATCATTTAAATAACGTATTCCCCCATCGATGGATTGGACGAGAAAGTGAACATCCATGACCTGCACGTAGTCCAGATTTGAACACTCTGGATTTTTATTTCTGGGATTATATTATTACTCTAGTTTATTCTGGCCCTACTGTTAATACCAGAAATGAATTGTGGCAAAAAATAGTAATAGCTGCTAATGTTATTCGAGAAGACCATTCATTCTTCGCCTTTAGAAGAAATTGCTTGAAAGGATGTAGAAAATGAATTAAAGTAAAAGGCGGACATTTTGAACAAATAATTTGAAATGAATTTTTCGTTTTGCTATTGTTCTTAGTTTGAAATTGTTAAGTTTTTCAATTTGTTATTTTTAAATATTCTTTATCATATTTTTACGTGGTTTCAGTATCTACTAAATATTTAATAATGTTCTGAATTAATTTATGTATTATCTTTAGATTTAACGTTATCAAATTGAGAAATTTTGGAGTAATCCATACATTTGTAGTACTAAAAATTATGTTTCCTTTCAAATGATGCCTTTTAGCGACATGCAACAAGTATACCTTTTTTAAAGCAAATTGAACGCTTTTTCAAATAACTAATCATTTTTCAAAAATATCCATTCTTAAAAAAAAATCTGAAGTAAATAATAGATTGGCACGTCAGTTCAGAACGCCCTGTACATGTAATGCAACCAAAAAGCTGGTATTCGTTTGTATCACCCAAACAAAATTATTTTCATAAAATTTGGGTATATTTTCTCAAATATTATTTGAATTATCGTAAAAATATTGAAAAAAAAAAATATTTTCTCCACCCTGTAACTTCTTAAGTAAGCAAAATTCTACTAAAGTAAATTGGTTTAAATGAACTTATTTTTGTCCAAACTAACCACATCTGAAGTTTGGCCCATTCATTGTTTGGTGAGCTAGAATTTATACATCGAATAAATATTTTTACTACCTACATTTTTTTTATGAAAAGCATCTAAATTTTTGTACATATTGAAAAGCGTTCATGTGAACGAACATGCACAGGATGCAGAAGACTACACAGACAATCTCGCAATGTTGGAATTCAAAGTAATCATTGAGGCGGAATGTGAACGCCCGGCAGCAATGAAAAACGTGAAAAACTTGACGTTTTACCTGCTCAATAAAGTCGATAACTGGATTTGCTTGTGTTTGAAAGCTTCTGGAAAACATAACTCGCGGATATTCGGAAAAATAAAGACGATCCGACTTTTCCGTTTATTCGTTTATCGTAAAAGAAAGGTAGGTAGATAGATGGATATACTTACTTTTAAAAGTTGAAATTTTTCTAAAGCTTCTTTATTTCCTTCATTTTTATCTGGATGAAATTGGAGTGCTCGAATTTTATACTCGGTGTTTATTTGTTCAACCTGAAAATATATTATACATAGGATGAGTCATCAAAAACGAAATAAATTAAGTGTATGGTCCAATATTAACCGACTACTAACCGTAACTAACCAGGACTTTTTGACAGCTGTTCTTGAAAAAAATCACCGAGAGTTGCGTCACCTTTGAGACAGATTGACATTCGACTTAATTCTAACCGTAAAAATATACTGAATAGTGTATTGACGTTTGAGTCACCATTTTCAGGTCAAGCAGAGTGGTTAGTTTTGGAGAGACTAACGCACATACTTTGATTTTCTTTTACTATACGGAGAATGGACGCACTGTGCAGCTTTCTGAGTGCCTTTTAAAAGGAGATAGAAAACTCCGCCATTTTGAACCCTTATTACGTGTTGCCTACATCTTGGCGCAATATTTTTAATAGGTGAGTTTTAATCATCCGCTTCTGCTTCGGAATTGTCGGTTTTCTTGTTTTAATCTGACAGGTTAAAACGACTAAACCGACAATTCCGGAAGCAGAAGCGGATGATTAAAACGCACCTGATATTTTGCTTGCTGCTGTCAGTGTCAGTGAATATTATTTTTGAAGTCACAGTTTATTGCTAAAGAATCAGTTAGCTCACTCGGACCAATTGAAAGTTCAAAAATAACATCCACTCCAGGGATACAAATTCAGGATACGCAGAAGACTGCTGTTTTACTATAGGCGGTTGTCATATATTGTATTATCCGAGTTGCACAGTGTATAAACTGAAACATTGTGATCAAAAGTGCCGACGCAGAGTGAGCGATCTGATTCTTTAGCTGTAAACTGTGTCACAGGGTTCAAAATGGCCGCGCCCTATGTTGGGCGTGTCGGACCTCTCTCTTGCCTCCTATAGTAATCAAAGTATGTGGACTAACGGATATTTCGGTTAATATCGGACCGTACTCTGAATATCTTGAATAACAAAAATAAAACACAGAATAGTCGCTTTTTATTTCAAGACACTTTTCATTATATTTTAAACTGCCATACGTCACTTTAACCAATACAATTCATTAGAGTATGGTCTGATATTAATCGAAATACTTGACATTCCTCAAAAACCGGTTCAGGTATCTGACTCAAACGTCAATGTACTAACCGGTATATTTTTATGATTATCATGTCAATCTGTCACAAAAGTGACGTAACTCTTGGCCCCGGTCCAAATTTAACCAACACATTATTTTTTTAGGATCAGCTGTAGAAAAATCCTTCTTTAGTTACGGTTAGTCGATGGTAAATATCGGATCATACCCTTAATTAGGAAAAGTACGCAGTATAGATAAAATAATAAAAGAATATACATTTTTTAAATACACAATGCTGTCAACAAGTTGTAGTTCCTATAGCATATTGATAGTTAGCGCCACCATTGCAATAGTATGAAAGCGAAGTTGCCAGTTTCCATAAAGTTTCACAAGATTAGAGTTATTTCAAATGAATTACAGTACGATACGATTGAGATCAGGCCCGTGCTGTACATAAGGGCAAAGTCGTATGGTCACGACGGCGCCGAGGCGCCTAAGGCGTCGAAAAGCCTCAAAACGCAAAAGTAAAAAGAAGATGAAATAACAAACAACATTGTCAAAACAAAATTTATAATGATAAAAAAAAACAGTAAGGAATTGCTAGCTATTACAATGTTTTTTATTTGTTTAATATTTTATTTTTACTCTTTGAGACGAGGAAACCGAATTTCTCGAAAATAATATATTTTTCAAATGAGAGTACACAATAATAGCATTTATTCGATCAAATGCGTAACATGATAATATGAATTGTGAAAACTCAAACAAATCTGATTGTATTCATTTTTGAGCTTGAAATTTGGCTTGCAACTATTTGTATTTTTTCATGTCTGAACTTGCAATGTATAAAACTTTATATATTAAGCGCTGCATCGGTCGTAATTTCATTTGTTGTCAGATGCCTGATCGATAATTAACTTGGCGAAGTGAAAAGGTGCATGGGGTTAAAGATATCTGTTTTTGAAACTTTAGTTTTTGTAGTTTTACAGACTTGTATTTTGTGTTGTGAATTGTGAATTAAGTTGAGTTCATCTAAAATGTATTTATTATTTTAGATTTATTAAAACATTAAAAGCCAAAAACTTGCATCTCAAAAATAATTTTATATTTCATTATATAAACATCATTGTTAATTGAAATAAATTCAAAGTTTGAGACGTCGAAACATTTCCATTTTTCATGAATACTTTGTCAATTTGTTTACTTACGTATTAATTTCTTTACAGTATACAGGATGTCATAAAAAAAGAAGAAATTGTCTGGATACCAAAATTTGCCGAATAAAAGAAAAAGAGTGAAATAACTGTCAAAATTACGCATTTTTTTTTCAAAACCCCAGTCTACTTTGCTAAATATTAATAACAACCATAATACAGCTGAATTCCAATATTCTGAACCTGTACTTGAAACAAGTATCAGCAGCAGACAAGAAACTGATCTAGAAAGCAATCCATCAACATCTTCAAGTTCAGCTGATAATGAGATATCAACACCTTCAAAAAATACCAAAACAGAAAATATGAGTCAACTTTAGAAAGATGCAGCATTATGGCCAAAGGAATTACGTCCTAATAATATTCAAGAATTAGTAGAACGTGGCCCTGCTCATTATCAAAACAAAAAGGATATTTATCCGAGAGATAGTTCGGAGTTCAATAGTTACTTCTTTAGAATTTTATCGAAAAAAGAAAAAATTGAGCGTTTTTGGTTGTTGTATTCCAAAACAAAAAAATGCACTTTACTGCTTCTGTTGAAAAATTTTTAATGACAGCGATTTGAAATCTGTTCGCCTTAGTGATGAATCTGGTTACAATGACTGGCGGTATTTAAGTGAACTATTAAACAGTCATGAAAAGAGCAAGTTACATATCGAAAATGTTCTAAAATTGTTAGTTGTTTCTAACCATTTTAATAAAAATTAAATAATTGATTCTGAAATTCAAAATGTAATAAACAGAGAAACTAATTAGTGGCAAGCTGTTATAGAAAGAATTTTCTACGTGATTCAGTTTTTAGGTGAACAAAATTTAGCTTTTCGTGGAAGTAGTAGTAAGGTGTTTGAGAAAAATAATGTTAACTTTTTAAAATGCATAGAAATGATTTCCAAATTCGACTCGAATATGTCAGAACATACGAAACGCTCTCAAATAAAAGATCACAAAAACTATCTCGAGGATAAAATACAAAATAAAATAATCAACTTGATCGGTGAAAATATCAAACCCAAAATTTTAGAACTAACTAAAAAGGCAAAATATTATTCCATATTATTAGACTGTACTCCTAACTCTATTTACCAAGAACAAATTTCAGTTTGTATAAGATTTGTTAATTTAAAGAGCACGGGAATTAGTATAGAAGAACATTTTTTATTATTTTTTCCTATAGATCAGCGTTACTCAAAATGTGGTCCGCGGAGCACTGGAGCTCCGCAAAGCCTTTGTGGGGGATTCGCGAAGAAAATAATAGTCATAACAAAAAAGCAGTAACTATCGCTATAACGGGACTTGACTTGAGGACCTTTTTTTAGAATTTAGTAAGAGGAAGGAGTATTTTTTTTTAGAATTCAGGAAGATGAAGGAGGATAAGATTTTGGTATTTTGGTTCGAGGACCAGTTTTTTGTTTTTTTTTTTTATTTTGTTGTAGGGGCTCGAAAGGAAAGGAATGGACTTGTCAAGAGGCTAGAGCAAGAAGGATTTTGCTCGGAGGACTTTTTTTTAGAAATGTGGAAATGTGTTTAGCGCTCCGTCAAATATTTCGCTTTTCAAAAAGGTTCCGTCATCAAAAAAGTTTGAGAAACACTGCTATAGATGATGTGTCGGGTGAAGGCTTGACAAAATTTCTTTTGTCGGAGTTAGAGAAAGAAGGCTTAAATATCAACGATTTGCGGGTTGAGGGTTACGACAATGGGTCAAATATACGTGGTAAACATAAGGAGCTACAAAAAAATTTGGATTTGAATCCGCGAGCTTTCTTTGTTCCTTGCTGCAATCATAGCCAAAAATTTAGTCATCAATGATGCCGCAAAATCGAATACCTTGAGCATCAATTTTTTTTCTTTAGTTCAAGAACTGTTTGTATTTTTTTCAGCTTCTACTAAACGCTGGTCAATTCTGAAATTAAATTTATCTAAAGTAACAAATTTAACTTTAAAACCTTTATCGAAAACTCGATGGTCTAGTAGAATAGATGCAATAAATCCTTTAAGGTATCAACTTGGAGAGGTTTATGATGCTCTGTTTGAAATAAGTGAAGGAAACTTTGAAAATAACGTAAAAATTTGGCTGCATCGTTGGCCAAAAAATAAAACTTTGAGTTCATTTGCATTCTTATATTGTGGTATAATATTTTAAGTAAAGTTAACATTGTTAGTAAAATTATTCAATAACCGAACTTTGATGTTGCTCAGTGTTCTAATCATTAAAATAATTTGAATCATTTTTTGAGAGCTTACCGCTCCGATAAAGGTTTTAATAATCTATTGATTCATGCTAAAGAAATAGCATCCAGCTTAGACCTAAATACAAAAAACAAAGACGTCTTAAACCGCGAAAACTAAAAAACACATTTTGATTATGAATGTGACGATGAAACGATTCACGACCAAACTTTAAAGTTCAAAGTTGATTGTTTTTTTAATGCTCTAGATGTAATCATAACATCAGTGGATGAGACATTCCAATTACTTTCTTTGTATTCTAATAATTTCGCGTTTTTATGGAATATTGATAAATTTAAAAATTATTCTAAAAACGAACAATTAGAATTATGTCAAAAAATTTAAAATTTATTAAATGACAAAACTAGCAATGAACGAGACATAACTGCCATGCAACTTGTTAAAGACTTGCAATATTTACAAAAAAGTTATTACGTCTCCAGAAAAAACTTTAAATTATATTACAATTAACAACTTAGTGGATTCTTTTTCTAATACGAGCATAATTCTTTGTATTTTATTAA